CAGTTAGTATATTAAGATGCAGCGTATTTAGAAGCTAGTAGAGTTTTTAATCTATTACTCTATAATAATTAGCTTAGATAATAGCTTAGTATTATGCCTCTAAGCCTATGCTTTGTTTAAAGTACTAGCTGTTTTAGAACCTAGCTAGTTTAAGAACCTCTTAAAGTCTAACGCTTCTTTAGTTTCTAATTCTAAATTCTTATTCTTAATTACTACAGCTTCTCTTATACTATCTACCTTAGGCTTTTCTTCTTTACTCTTATTCTTCTTACTAAGCTTGCTATCTAGTCTATAGTTATCTAGAAGCCTACTTAAGTACTTCTTAAGCTTAAATTCCTTCTTATCTATGTCTTTAACCTAGACCTTATAGTCTAGGTTTAGAATATACTTGCTAGTTTTCTTAATATGCTTAGAGTAGCATAGCCTAGCAGTATTAGTTATTATATATAATAAGTATATATAATAAACTTACTTCTAGTTATTATTTCTTATAACTTTAAGGTTATTAGTAGAAAGTTTTCTATAAAATCTCTGCTATTTCTTCTTTTTAGCCTTGTCTCTTACAACTCTTTAGACTAAAGCTTTTTAAGGCCTAACTTATACTCTTAGCGCATAATCTTCTTAAGAACGCTACTAGAGCTAAATAGACGCCTAGCAGAGTTTAGGCCTTTACTTTATTTAGAGCATTTAACTTTCTTAGCAGGAGCTCTATTAGCTTTATTAAGAGTTAGCTAATATATGCATAGGTTAATTTTCTGCTTAATATCATTCTATCTCTTATAGGGCGTTTATTAGCATATTCTCTAGCTACTTAGCTATAGTAGAGTAAGCATTTAACTATAATAAAGGTATGTAATAACTTACTACTAGACTTCTATCTAAAGCGCTTTTCTGCAAGCGCCTTATATATATCTCTAACCTTTCTAGGCTAACTCTTATATAGTATATTAGAATTATACTCTAGAAAATCTTTTCTAATGCGCTTTCTAAGGTATTTCTTTATAGCCTAGTTAGTATCTTTTGCTTTTATAAGTGCTCTCTCTTCTTTAGATCTTAGCGCAGCACGCTCTCTCTAAGCTATAGCATAGGCAGTAGTACTTAGTTTATGCTTAGAATTAATAGTAAAGTTAGTAGAGCAGCTACGCTTAACTTCTTAACTACAGAGTATAAGAATCTAACTAACTTTATCTAGTCTTAACTTAAATCTCTAGTTATATTAGCATATGCTGTTATAAAGTGCTGTAATAATACTTTACTAATCTTAACTTACTTATTAAAACTAAAATTCTCTAGAATAGTAGAGTTATAATCTAGCAGTAGACTCTCTAATATATCTAGATCTTCTTCTTAAGTATATGCTATGCTATATCGTAAAGTAGCGTAATAAAAGTATATAATAAAACCTAAGTAGTAGAGAAGTAGCTAACTAGAAGTTTAGAAAGTTAAGAATATAAAGTTATAGCCTATGCGCTGCTGCCTAAAAGCTGCACTAGCGCAGTTACTAGGTTAATAACTCTGCATAATATATATTAAATTCTCTAGATATTAGACTAAGCTAAAATTAGTGTAAAATAAAAGCTAGCAGTAAGTACTATTATCCTATTTATTATTATAGTTTCTTATTATATATAGAGACGTGCATTACGCTGCAGAGGCTATAGCGCTTATAAATAAGTAAGAGATAAATAAAACTTTTAAAAAAAGAGGTTTTTATCCCTATAACTAGGAATATCTTGCTCTAAAATAGCTATATCTTAATAAAACTAGTGCTAGAAGAAAGCGCAGACTCTAAACTATTAGCTTATAAATTATTATAGTTTATTATCTTATATCTAGCTCTGCATAGAAGTAGCAGAATCTAAAACTAGAAGCTTTCTGCTACTTTTACGCTAGCAGAGGTCTGCGCACGCTAGTAGATCTACGCAGATATTTAAATTATTAGGTTTCCTCTATATACTACTACTATAACTTCTTTAAATTTCTTAATATATTTTAATATATCTTCTTAAGTATTAGCCTCTAGCAGCAGTAATAATAAGAAAGAGACTCCTATTATGCCTACTTTAGCTAAGATTCCTACGCTTACTAATATTAAAGATTCTTAAATTAGCAGTAATAAGAACTCTGCTAATAATAATAAAGAAGAAGAGTTTAATAATAACCTTAAAGAGCAGCTTCTGCGTTAGAAGAAAACTCTAAAAACTTCTAAGTTAAGAGTTAGCGCTGCTAAGGCTAAGAGAAAGAGATTAGCTAGAGTTAGTAGCAAAGAGCCTAGAAAAGACCTTGCTTCTATAGCTGCGCGCAAAAAACCTATTATCTCTAAATCTAGCACTAAGCCTTTAACAAACACTAAGACTAGAAGAGCTAAGGCTAGCAGTAAGAAAGCCTATTGCTATAAGCTAGGCAGTACGTTATTATAGCTTATTATTATGTCTAACTACTTACTATACCTAGCTATATCTCTAAGACAGATTTATTAATATTAGAAGTTAATAGAAATGCTTATTTCTAAGGCTCTGCTTAACTATCTTATTAGAGAGATTACCTAGCAATATAGGCTTAATTTTTAATTTTAGAGAGTTGCAATTAACGCAATTTAAGAGGCATTAGAAGCTTTCCTTATTAGCTACTTTAAGAGTATATTATATTATACTTTAATTAATATATACTAATATCTCTAGACTGCAATATTAATATAATATATACTAAGCGCGTTACTATTTAGAAAAAGGATAGCGAGCTTACTATACGCTACTACTAGAAGCTACTTATATTAAACCTATTTATAGGCTATACTAGCAGGTACTTATATAAGTATAGAACTAAAACTTTATATAAAGTATAGCAAGCTTACTATGCGCTACTATAAGAAGCTGCTTATATTACTACTATTTCTAAGCTATAATAGCAGGTACTTAAATAAGTATATAAAAGTCTCTGCAAGTCTAAATATAGACGCAGCATAGGCGCTAGCTACTTTCTCTATATAATTAAGAAGTTTAGAACATAAATACGTCTCTACTATAATAAATAACTATAATAACTATTGCGTTACTAAAATATTACTTCTACTATAAAGAAAAAATTGCTGACTAAGACTTATATATACCTATATACTATAAACTTAACTATAACCTAAATATTCGTAACTATAACCTAACTTATACCTATTCTAGCTAGAAAGTTTAGGTATAGGTTAGGTTAATTTAGAGTTTATATTACATAATACTTAACTATAACCTAACCTATCACTTATTTGCTACTCTGTCTAGAACCTTCTAATATAACTTCTTAGAAGACTAAATATATTAGTTTATGCTATAATAAGATATTCTAGCTTATAATAACTTACTACTATATAGTTAGAGTTACTAAAGAAGTAATAAAAGTACTTAAAGTACTAAGTAGTCTCTCTACTTCTAATCTTCTTCTACTAAGATAAGTAGAGATTAAGATAGTTCTTAGCATTCTTTATAGTATTAGAGAAGTCTATTATAATATAACTAAACTTACTAAGGCACTTAAAAGAGCTTATAGTAAAAGATATAATATAGTAGTAGCATAGATAATAAGTATATATACTATTCTCTATTATATTATTACTAATAGTAATCTAGTTTATATTAACTAATTTAGAGATATTCTAGCCTAGATTAGTATAAAATAGAAGTAGAAGAGCTTAATAAAGCTAAATTAAGAGGCGTAGTAATTATTATAGAATACTCTATATTTATTAGTGCTATAATAGAGTATAATAGAGTATTCTAGCCTAAATAAAGGCTAAAATCTCTATAGAGAAAACTAAAAATTCTTACTTAAAAGAGACTAAGAGAATATAGAACTAGGTTAAGAGTTAAGCTAAGCTTAACTAGTATTATAGATCTATATACTACTTACTTATTATTACTTAGCGCGCTAAGCTTAGCTAAGCAAGTTTCTTAAAACTATAAGTTTTAGAAATAATCTATAAAGCTCTAATGCGCGCTTTAAGCCTTAAATAAGCTATTATAGCTTATTCTAGCTTACTAAATACTCTTCTATATTAGACGTATTTGCTTAAGATAAGTATGCTTAAGAAAAGAGATAATATTAGCACTTTAGCACTAAGAATGCCTTTAGTATTCTAAGTAGGCCTAGTATAGCTACTAGAGAGCTAGTATATAGAGTAAAGAGAGAATTACTTCTTACTAATAGTAATTTATCTATTCTTTATAATAATTCTATTAGTTATTCTTATTATTACTTACTTCTAGCTATAACTCTCTACTATTATTCTAATAATATCTCTCTAAGGTAGTAACTACTTTAACTAACTCTCTAACGCTTATCTAAAAGCTAGTCTTATTAAAGTTATAAGTATCTTTATCTAGAATTCTATATTTAGCTTTAACGTTATATATAAAGTTAAACTAGAAGCTAATAATAGCTAGATTACTATATAGAACTCTCTAGTAATCTCTTTATCTAGTTACTTAAGACTTAATCTTAAGCTTTTAGCATATAAGATTCTTAGCTTATTTTTCTCTGACCTAGTTACTACTATAAGTAGCTAGCAGTTAGTTAGCTATCTCTTATATATAGCTAAGTATAGAAGTAAAGCTTTACGCATTAAGCTTTCTTATATATTATATAATTATATTCTCTTTATTTCTTAAGAGCTTTAATAAGTTAGCTAAGATATTATATTATAAAAGCTTTTTAGCATATTATATATAAAGAGTACTTTCTTAAATATTATAGATAGTAGTAACGCGTTACTAGCTTAAGAATATATTAGATTTTATTACTTTAATAGCTAAGATTATTCTTTCTTTATAAAGAAGTAATTTAAGATTAAGTTATTATAATATTATAAGAAGTAATAGAAAGAGATATAGTCTTAGCAGAAGTACGCATTTCGCTTATCTGCGCATTTCGCTTGCCGCTTACGTTAGACTATAAATTTAAGCAGTCTTTCAACCTCTTAAACTTAACGAGGGATAAAATTTAATACCTAAATTCTACTTTATCTGTAAAGAGTGTTCAGGTGCTGCGACACTCTCTTCTTCCGTGATAATACTCCCTATAGACCTCGTAGGCATTCTCCTGATAAGCAATGCCATACTTGGAATTGCAAAAAATAACACTGCGCAGTTGAAGTAGAGGGGAATAACGTGATTGATGTGGCTTGCCGAACTCAGACCGTAGGCTACTGCTTGTCCAGCAGTTTCAAAAGCTCGGAAAACGCCTCCAGCACGCGAGGCAACCTCCACTTCATCAGATAGAGTGCTGAGAATCCAATAAAGTGTCAACTGAGTCCAATATCCGGTGACAAAGATGACCAGATATGGCACGTAAGCCTTGGCCCACTTGCTTGGGTGCCTACCACGTGTCAGGTTTGATCGTCATCGCAAGACAATCGTACTCACAGTTTGGGATCCAGCGCTATCTTGTCGGGTAGTAGGTGATATTCAAGTGCGACCCATATAAGGCACCCTATCTGTGGCAGTACCCAGACTGTTGTTGCAACCCATGCTCTATGCCGTTGCGACCAACGGGTGCTATCAAGCAGTTTCCCGAATAGAATAACAGAAGGTATGGTGATCACGGCTGCACAAGTCAATTGAAGCAGGCATCTAGCAGGAAGGCATACTTACGCACGAGCAAAGATGACAGAGCTCGAGCCCGCACCGAGAAGTGCAAGGACAGGTAGGTCCCCATGGTTCCTCCATAAAAGAAAGAATAGAACGATGGGACAAAGATAAGCCACGTCTGTCACAGGGTTAGCCATGTTACGGTAGCGAGAACGGGCATTGATCACTTTTGGATCCTGTAAGTAGCACCATAGAGCAATGAACTCTTGTTTCCAGGAGATTTTCATGGACATGGAGACTCCAGTGTTGTCTCGGCGACGCACCTTAGCAGTGGGTGAAAGGAGAAGAGCCCACACGAAGCCAGTACATTCTGCAGTCTATCAGCGTGGTGTCGCGCACGAGTTTGATACGCAGACTGTACCAAAACCAACGAATATCAAGTACGTTGTCCATGCTATCCCACCGCCTTTGGCTCGTGAATAGTTTGTCGAGAAGTTGATCGCCCCGCCAATTACACTGCCCGTGTTTCGCATAGCGGACCAAATGCCTTCGAAAAGTCAGCAGTGTCATCTCGGAGTGTATGACTCAACACTACCAAGATAAAACCCTCGATCTTCCGGCTTTGGATAGGACAACATGGCAGTGGTTTCGCCAACATAGAGGAAGCCTGCTGCTATTCCTTTGATGATCTATCTGCATTAGTAACTAAAATCTTCACCCCGCATACTTGTAGTCCAGTACATTTGCCGTCAAAAGATACCATTCGGTTCGGTACCTAGCGTTCACATAGTATGCCGATCCGTGAAGTGGCATTGCGAGAGCTGCGATCAAGCACGACCATTTGATGCCAATCTTATTGATCACGGGTCCGCCTAGAATGGTACTCAGGAAGCTGAACGCATAACTCAAAGAATTCGCAAGATTTGCCAGCCATGGCGAGGATAAACCGCCACCCCCCAGGTTGGTTATGGCGTCTGACATAGCTGGTCCAACAAGTGAGAGTCTGTACCGAATGAGCTGACTGTTCGCAGGTTCTCAAGAATTACTCACGCCCCAAATAACACCATCTGAAATAGCACGCTCCGGTAGAACGTCGCAAGTGTGTAAGGACGACGCTCCTCTACTGATCCGACTGCCATATCAACAGGTGAATCATCTTCTACGGCCGATTTCGGGGCTTGAGATGCCTTCATCTCTTGGGGTAACATAACGAACGATGCTGAGGACAACGCTGAGCAAACAGCGTGCGTCCCATTATTGAACTCCTCGCATGTCAGGGATTATACTTCGAGAAACCGCCAATCCTTGCAATGGTTCGCGGGGTACCCCACAGATAAGAAGCGGCCGGCCCGGTTCACAGCGGATAGTGATTGCCACGTGAGAACCACTTATGATATCTGATAGTCATCAAGTATCTGCCACTGGTAGCTGCACACGATCGAAGTGCTCGATTGATACACATCCAGCATACGAGGGTCTCAATTCCACTTGACCAAAGCTCTGATTTGGTCGTACCCTAGCCTGCAGTGAACTAGAATGCTCGAGAATCACTATCACTTTCACTCGCACTGCCGTCATGCCAATCTTCGAAATACATGCTTTGTAACACGTGAGATAGGCTCCTTTTGCCAAAGACCAGCCAAAATCTGACGCCCTTGTACGCCTATCATTTTTTATGAGACTTCGTTAAGTGCTGATGCTGTCTTCGCATGTGCTAGAGTTTGTTATCTCCATATTGCTCTCCACTATGTCGAACAAGACTGGTGCATGTTCTTAGCTTCCGTGTCGGAAGGTTTGCTGCGGGGTGATGATCTGGTCCATGCAACAGTCTATCATTGTGCAACGTTGTTCGTATGAACTCCATCCTTTAGCGTTGTGTAGCTTCTGGCTACGAGGATAAGGTCTTACGGTTCAACCGCGGTATCGCCCAACTATTAATAAGCTTCAGATGCACCTTTGTGGATAGCGACCACCGTGATACCCTTGGAAGTTGTTGTATATCATCCGCGCAGAGTTGCGGACAACTTCGAAATAGTGCTAAATTTGATCTTCGTGCTCGGCGTTCGGTTTCCCGTCATAAGATAAGCACTATCGCGGTCGACCACCGGTAAGTCCCCTCCGTGCGCTGGTCTGAGCGTGTTACGAATCGTATGAGACGTACCGGCCGTGGGCGGTACCTCGATCTGACCGGCCCGGTCGTTGAACTCGAAATGGCTTAGTCGTCCACAATAGGCCCAAATCGAATCACTTGTCACATTCAGCACCCGAATGGCTCTTGTCCTGGACTAAAAACAACCAAGCTTGCCAATTTCCAGCACAATTCTTGTCATGCCTCCCTCGCCGCACGTTTCGAAACCCTTTCCGGTGGGAAATGCCGTGCCCTCGTATTGGCGGAACGAAATAGGGTCAATCGACACTCATCGCAGTACTGCGAAACTCCCCGCAGAGGTAGAGGTTGTGGTCATCGGTGCTGGCTATACTGGAGCGTCCATCGTGCATCACTTGCTCGAAGAAACAACGGGTGTAGGTCGTCCTACACCATCAATCCTCATCCTTGAGGCTCGCGAAGCTTGCTCAGGTGCCACAGGCCGCAATGGTATGTGGGATGATCGACAGTTTTTTATATGTATATGAAGCTGACATCGCTCATACAGGCGGTCACTTGAAGCCAGATCCCGTTTTGCGAGCTGCTAGCGTACTCGACACCCATGGCAAAGAGGTTGCGGAGCATGTGGCCTCGTTCGAAGCGCGCCAGATTGGTGCGATAAGGGAACTCGTTGCGCGAGAGAACATTGAATGCGACTTTGAAGAGACCAGAGTTGTAGATGTCTGTTTGTATTCACAAGGCCAACATCGAATGAAAGCAGCGATCGATAAAACCACAAGAGCGGGTATTTCCACAGCAAAAACGGTAAACTACACCTCTGGTGCAAAAGCTGAAGAGATATCTGGCGTGCGGGGAGCCATGTCTTGTCATACATACAACGCCGCGCGTTTGTCTCCATACCGACTCGTTACGCGCCTTCTGGAACAAGCAGTGACCTCGGGAGTAAACTTACAAACCTTTACGCCAGCCACGAAGGTTGAAGCAAGAGGATCAGACGCTACGGATCAACTCTGGCTCGTAACGACGCCGCGCGGCTCTATCACAGCACGAACTGTCATTTATGCTACGAATGGTTATACTGCAGCATTGGTACCAGAGGTCAGAGAAAAGATCGTGCCAGTAAGAGGAATGGTCGCACGGCTCGCTGGACCGGCGTTGTCGAGGATGAAAGACAGCTACATGATGCGCTTCTCAGACTACGAATATGACTACATGATTCCACGTCCGGATGGTAGCATCGTCTTGGGCGGAGGAAGGCGTGATTATTTCGAAAATTTGAACGAGTGGTTCAACGTGTCGGACGATAGCAGGTTGATGGAAGGCGCGCGAGGATACTTCGACGGGTACATGCAGCGGCATTTTCATGCATGGGAAGGTAGCGAATTCTCTACGGAAGAGATTTGGACTGGCAGTAAGTCCGTATCGCGGGCGTTTGGATGCTCTTGAACTAACAATCCTTCTGCAGTCATGGGCTATTCCAACGATGACTTCCCATACGTCGGTGCTGTTCCCGAGAAGACAGGCCAGTACATGTGTGCAGGCTTCACTGGGCATGGGATGCCACAAATATTTCTCGCAGCGAAAGCTCTAACGTCCATGATCCTCACTCGAGATTCCGAGGACGTGGATTTACCTCTGCCCTATCGAATATCCCAAGAAAGGTGGCTAGAGAGAAAACCTCATGCTGCCCTCAAAATGTGGCAGAAAACATTCGACCTGGGAGGCGCCCAAGCAAGGCTATGAGAAGAATGAAACATGGTGGGAAATTGAATGGATTGAACTGAAGACTAGAACTCGCCGTGCATTGATTCGAATACCCCGCTTATCTAGATATCCCAGTCGCAGAATCCTTGGAGCCAGCAATAGGCAATATGCGATCGTTTCAATTCTAGCTCGGTGGCCATAGAAAGTTCTCAAAGAATTCGTTCTCGGTATTGCTAAAATCGTATAGGCCGGAGGTGACAAAAGACATGTTCCCATCCGCGTTTAAGAGATCAAGATCAAAAGGGTAGTCATTTTCTGGGTTCGTCGACGAAGAGGACTGATTGTACAGTCTAAGTCGCGAAGTCGTTGAGTCTGGAAGCCTTGTATTGAAGGAATTGACAGGGTCCATCATCGAAGTGGTGCCACAAGGATTGCTAGTACGCGCCACGTTGGTGTACCATTTAAGAAGACCTTCATAACCATCCTGGGCCGAGTTATGATCAGTCTCTGCTATAATCTCCGGCTTTTCTGGGGTATGAATCGATTGGAGAGCCTCCTCCAAGTCCTCCAGCAACGACACTTCTGATCGAGCGGACTCGCCCACTGAAGCCATCTCTTTGATTGCATCGAGTCCTTTTCGTAACGCCTCTGAATGCTCGTTTGTACGACAGCAGATGCTATGAGCTATTAATACCATGAGCGACGCGCGACATGAGCTATATTCAGCATACGAAGACTTCGCGAGGCCGATGTCGCTTGTTCGCATCAAATGGCAGATATCGATTGCTTCGTTGGCTGCGGAGATGGAGTCTTGTATCAAGAAGTCCCATTGACTGTGTGCCGAATGTACCGGTGGCTGTAGAGTCTCTTCAACAGCATCAGCGTGTCTGCACTGTGTACCCGCCTGCCTCTGATGATGGGCTAGAATAAAAGGTCTTCCAATGAACATATGTAAGAGGCAACACTCTAGGCGAGCGTGTAGGTTCGCACGACCCTCCACAGGAGGCGCATCACTCCTTGTTGATGAGGTTGATGATGATGGCATATGACGTTGTTGAGGCGTCCACCTACCATGCAGACTTTGCTTCATTTGTCTTATACGATTTAAAATTGTATGAGCCTCCGATCTTGGACAACTTCGCAAGTCGCGACCTGCGAAAGTGCGTCAGCTTTGTGCCAAACACATCCTGTCTGTCGCCATGCCCACATACATCTGATGGAGGAAGGCTTCTGCCTGACAGGTCAGGTGGATGGATTCTAGCAATCTAGTCGTATCGTAGTCGACATCTGTTGAACCACTTGTGTCAGGGCTGCTAGGAAAGTCCGCATCAACCTCGGAACGTGAGATTGCTGTTGGGCGTCCATGGTATATAGCAATTTTCCTAAGAGATCAAAGTCGTTAGTGCACCGATCGTTGACGTTCTGCCAGGGTAGCCAACCTTTCCATACAGTACGCTGTCCACCAGATACAACGCCTGATTTGTTTGGTACTCGAGTCGAAAACGTCGCGGGAATCTTTCCGATGCATACCGTTCTGAATAGCTACTTTGATGGCGAGGTTGAGATACATGTAGCCTAATCCAGACGCATCGATAGGCAACGAATACAAGCCGAGAAGCATGAACACCTGAACACTCAACATGGTGCCAGCATGGATCACTTCGGATAGCAGTCTTGCCACCTGACGATAAAAGGTGGAGCCGATGTCGGACTCCCAATTTGCTGGAGGGTTGTGCGCTGCTGTGCCTGCTCCTTCATTGCAACTCTTTCTGGTCGATTCCAAGTGCACATATTGTGTCCCCACTGCAAGAACCATTAGGACCATGCAGGTTGCGGTGACGTCTTTTGAGCTAAGCCGGCTCGGGCTTGCGTGCAGTTTGTTGAGAAGGTCAGTGATCCAGCGCTTTTCAACAAAGTAGTAGTAGCTTGTAGAATGCTTGAAGAATACGTCGACCAGAAAGGCAGTCAATGGTCTGGGCGGGAGAAGTGCCACGATATCCTCAATCGCAGTAGAACCTGGCTCTGGTTCGCCAACGCGAATAAATTCAGGTACCCGCTTGCGGGGTTGACTCTGCGTGGAATGATGAGCCTGCGCACACGAATATGATGCGGGAAAGCGGAATGATTGCCTACAGACTCTGGAGAACTTGCCATTAGGCTATCCATGTTGCGCTTGATGTGCATGGAGAAGTTCCAATGCGAGAACTCACCAGAGTAATCTACACCGAAGCAAAAAGATAGCTGTAAGCGTGTGCAGCGCTGGACCTCTAGTCAAACGTCTACTTACGAACTGTCGTGCCATCTATGCAATCAATCGTGCAATTCTCGTTCTCCATACCGATGCTGTCAGAGGCAAGCTCATTCATAGCGACGCTTTGCAGGTCCAGGCCTGGTTTGTCTGAATCAATACCATCTTGTGCCGGAAGGGCATCACACGTATATCGCAGGGTCTCAATATCCAGGCCAAGATTGGGAAAGTGGTGTCGAAGAATTCGTGCCATACATGTTGCGCGATCCTTCAGCTCTTCAATAGTGCGACGTGTGTGAGGTTCACGCTGCGCATCCCGTGGAGGCACTCTGTTGAATGAACATGAACGTCCCAAATGGCGACAACGCTTGCATGGCATGCCACCTTCACATTTCTCTTTCAAACGACGACACTCGCAACAACTGGGCAGAACCTGTCAGCGTGGCTCAGTCCGATTCAAGCAGCAAACTGCCAGAGAGTGTGCGTGTCTTACGCGCGAATTGCTCGTTGCCGCTCCTCCCCTGTCAGATGGCGCTTCTTAGTGGGTCTTGGGTTCTCAGAGTCCATGTTGGACCGGGTGTGTCGACTGCAGGTACGTGAAGTTCTGGCAAGGTGTGGAGAACGCGGTCGTGCCTTGGGACCGGCGCGGTGAGACACGTGGATACCACAGGTATCGACCGGGCCGGATCAGCACACGTGACGGCCATGTTCGGTGGTACCTAGGTACCCATGGATCATGGAGACGATCGGGAGAGTGCAGATAGGAACGCGGTGTCGGCTCAACATGCGCCGAAAGCAATCCCAGCTTGCGGGGTAGTCTAGCGAACGGCGTGCTTTAACTTTAGGAAAGCACCGAGCAGTCCACTTTCTAAGGTTACCCTGCCATGTTCAACGGCTGGTTAGAACTTTAAGTCTAGATTGAAATGACCTCGGGAGCATTATTGGAAGACATGTAACGGAATTGTCTTCAAGCTACGATTTCTCGACAATTTGCTGCGCCATCTCCACAAGACTTCCAGCTACGACGTCCAATTTCGTTTCGCTAAACACATCGAGACAAGCTTCTTTCTCGTACACTGAACTCCATGCGCCCCGAAAGCCCACTTTCGTCGCAGCAGCAACATCCCACATATGAGCCGCAGCAAACCACTTTATCTCTTGCGCGCCTAGTCGATCCCACATAGCCTGATAGACAGGAAGAGCTGGTTTCGCCGAGCCGGCCACATCACAGCTCACGATGTTATCCCGTGGCATCTCTACGCCACCGCGCTCAAAGTAGCCTGCAACGCGCTTGATGTCGCCAGTGGTCAGGCACCAGACGGTGAAGCCGTTGTTGCGTAGGATCTCAAAGGCTTCCTTGCACCCAGCACGGATTTCCAGAGCCGAGTATCCCTCGATGCATTGCTCTCGCTCTTCTTCCGTGGCCATATCCCGAGGGTGCGCTATACCGCACAAGCTCAATGTGCGATAGAACAGCCCACGGAGGACGTCCTTGTAAGCTTTGTAGCTGCCCTGGATGGACAGAAATGTAAACTCCAGCTCGGCCGCGGTTTGCCAGGTAAACCCAAAGTGCTGCGCTGTCGTCGTGTGCTTGCGAAGTTTTGCACCTAGGACCGCCTCTATTCGTTCGTAGTATGCGTCGAACGACACGCAGGTACCGACCACGTCAAAGACGACATGCTTCTGGGCCTCAGGCATTTTCTTGAAATAGTGATAGAGCTGAGCTATCTCGGTACTTTGCACTCGCGTGACAATACAGCGCAAAATGCTCTGGGCTCGTGTAAGAAAAGTGACGAGAATTGATGTCGTTTGTATTGATTGTTGTGGTACTCGGATACATACGCAACCAGTTGCACGATTATGGCTTCGCTTGAGGACGCAAATGAACCCCACAACTTGTCAGAGCCGGGCCGGTTTCGGAACTATTCCATTCATGGTAAAGCGTTATCTCTTCGACCGGGACAAGCTCAGGCTGAACGCATGATCCGCTCACCGCATGTTCTGAATGGCTAACATGGTCCTCCTACTTGAACTGCGGAATGATTGACGTGGTTCTGCAACACAACAGAAATGGTCTTGCCAATCGACAATCCCACAAAGTCCTACTGGATCGAGGCCGCCGAGTCGCCTTTGCGCGACTATCGCTCTAGCGAACAGCTGCCGGAACAAACTGATATTGTCGTCATTGGCAGTGGCTACGCCGGTGCATCGACTGCGTATTGGATTCACAAGGTATGTGCGCGCAAAGCCTAGTGTTTGAGCAATCCTTACGGACATTCAGTTCACGGAAAAAGCCTCCAGACAACCTGAAGTGACTGTCCTGGAAGCGCGTGATATATGCGGATCTGCTACGGGACGCAATGGTCAGAAAACATCACTGGTTTTAATACTAGGCACTAAAATTGAACAGGAGGACAATTGAGGCCACACGCTTACTCTCGCTATCCAATCTGGCGCGAACGATTCGGGCCTAATGGAGCAATGGAACTAATCAAACACGAGATGGCTCATCTCTCGGCCTTCAAGGAGCTAGCAGAGGAAGAGGGCATAACTGAAGAAGCGTGTCTTTTGTTTGGTGAGACTTTTGATGCAGCTATGACTGATGAAGCTTGGGTGCGACTCAAAGGCGCTTTACAAGCTATGCAAGACGATCACGGCGTCGATGATGACATTGTCAGAGTCTGCAAAATTATCGAAGATGCTACACAAGCAGAAGACTACACGCAGATGAAGGGGGCCCGGGCGGCAGTAGTGCATCCTGCTGGTCAAATGTTAAACACACCCTATTCTTTGATGTTGCTAATTTCTGACGAGTCTCAGATGGCCGTACAAGTTTGTACATGCCCTCATTCGCATACTCCTCAAGTCGGGTAACCTGAGTCTCCATGCAAACACACCAGTCGTTGGTGTAAAGGAGCGCGATGCTCACGGTTGGATCCAAGTCCAGACAGAAAGAGGGACTATTCGCGCAAAGACAGTTGTCCACACAACGAACAGATGGGCATCTCACCTCCTGCCGGAGTTTGAAAAGCTCATTTTGCCTGTTCGAGGGACAGTAAATGCTATCAAAGCACCTCCGGGTTTTCTCAAGCACACTGGAGCGCAGCATTGGGATAACACAGTCAATGTGAGAATTGCGACCCGCTCGGAATACACGAACAGACATTGAGATTGATAACAGAACTACCATCTTCAACTACCTGCGCCCTTCAACACTATCATGTTCGGAGGCGCAAGGCCGATTGTTATTCACACCCCGGACGCCGTGATGATGAATGACGAAGAGGACAAGCAATTCGTTGGTGTTCCAGACTTCTGCAGGTCGTGGCCAGCATCAGACATCAAAGACTGGCCAGGGCCAAAGATGGCAGAGCTAGGCAAACCGGAGAACAAGGGAGGGTGCTGGACGGGAGGTGAGCATCAATTTTGATGAGTAGTCGTGTCAATATGAAACACACTGACTCTACTGCAGTTCAAACAGCAAGTGCAGATGACTTCCCATTTGTTGGGCCGATCCCAGGCCGCAAGAGCCAGTTCATCAATGCTGGATTTGCTGGACACGGTACGTTCACGACATTGATTCATGAAGATGATGGATACTGATGTGTGCAGGCATGCCACGAATTCTGCTCTCATCTGCACACATCGTACCTCTTGTACTGGATAGTGTTGGCTTCCAACACAGTCCACCGCACCTAGCTACATCCTACCCTGAGTTACCTCAACCGTTCCATGCTACTGCCGAGCGCATTGAGAGGCTTCAAAACACGGATACAACGGCACTCGTTCAGAGCTTCAAGCAGCGATGTGAATTGAGCGCGAAGAAGCCATTTTGCGATGCAGGTAGGATTTATGCGCCCTTGTATTCAAATGATAGAATGTAAAGTATGTTCTTCTCAACTTGAAGATGTAGAGGAAAGGAAAGATCCATGTCATAGAGATATGGGTACTCGAATTTAGCCAGGCACACCCAACGAGAGAAGGAGGAGTGCCTGCTTCTACTCAACGCCCACCCAACGAATCCACCATATCCACAGCTGAATTCCATCATGCATCATGCCAATCTAGCTTGCCGGTCACTGGACAGCAGCCGGTGCATTCGTAGATTGTAGCGTTGTTCTGTTGTCAGACGAAAGCGAATCAGTGAGAGTGGAGTGAATAATGAATAATGAATAATGAATAATGAATAATGAATAATGAATAATGAATAATAAATAATGAATAATGAATAATGAATAATGAATAATGAATAATGAATAATGAATAATGAATAATGAATAATGAATAATGAATAATGAATAATGAATAATGAATAATGAATAATGAATAATGAATAATGAATAATGAATAATGAATAATGAATAATGAATAATGAACAATGAACAATGAACAATGAACGTGAGCCACCGTTGATGCCTTCACTACGCGACAAACGGGGACGATGATAATGAAAGGTCCGATAATCAACCGCTTTGCCTCCACATTCTTTCTGTTCGATACATTCACATAAGACAATTGCTTTGTCTTCAAACGCTGCAAAACAAAGTTGGTATTGAGTCAGCACCAGCATACCATGGTGACGATCGACCACTTCTCCATTGGCTGCGCAGTCTCAGCTCAAATATCAGAGATGGCAAAGTTAAGTCTAAGCGCACCGACGACTCCTCTTCGCATCTGCTTGCGCACTTCGTCTCTCCACGCAGAATACTCGCCAAGCCATCGCGCTATAAGCTTCTCGAGCTGGACTCGCTACAGCACCTCACCAATGGCCTCGCCTTTCGGGCTACTCAAAGCTTCCGTCCTATGCAAAGCATGTGGCACGTCTCCTTCATATGATCCTCCAATCAGCGAATGGGTGTACCTTGGAGCCGACCAGCCAGCGCACGTGGAGGGCGAGCCAGAAGTCCGCGAGAAGTGGAGCGATTGGCGCCAACGGAGGAGTCCGGGTGGTTTGCGGATGGCGGTTCCTGGCATGCACGTGGAGAAAAATACGGAGTTGCGCTTTGCTAGACAACCGATCAAACGCATGAGTTCGGAGAGTCAGTTGACGCGTGGAATCAAGATGGGATTGCGTGCGGGAAATGAGGTGACGTTGGCGGATAAATATGGATTACAGGGCTTGACATGTGAGGACCTGCCATCGGCCTTTGACTCAGAATCGGATGAGGAAGACTGAGAGCATCTTGAGAAGGCTGATGCCCTGGCGTGATGGAGATGAGCAGAAGCATGGATGCATTCAGACTGACCTCGGGAGGTTGGAGCTAGTGAAGCTTTGACCTCCAATTGCAGTCAATGACGAAACGTGTGAAGATGATCCTTTTGCACCGCGAGTTCATGTCTCGAACTGGAGCTATCCACACATACACACACATAATGGAAAGACAAATATTACAATGCTCGCGCGCACTCTCACGATCACTGCAAATCTCGTCGCATTGCCCAATCAACCTCCAATCCTCAATCCTGGCGGCTCCACGACAACCGCGACGATGCCTCCACACCACGCGCCCAAGCCTCATGAAATCGCAGCCCCCCAAAACCCGTGACCGCGGCCCAAAATCCGACGAAGACACGCAGACCGACTTTTCCGCTCTCGACGTCTTACGCAACACAATTGCGCCGGCGACTTCTATTGACGCGTGCACGAGCGACGGGTTTGCGCTCAACAACCAGGTGCGGATAAGTGGGAGTGGAATCATGTTGATTGGTGGGGAGGCGTTTAGGTGGTGGCCCTGGACTGCCGGCGGAGGTGCTAGTAGTGGGAAGATGGAGGGCAGATTGCTAAATGCAAAGGGTCAATGGGAAGTCAGACAGGAAGGATGGGGGGTGCTGGAGCTGGTGTATCCAAAGCCAGGTACGTTCAAGATGCCATGCAAAAACAGGGCTGACCATATCCTGCAGACCTACTCATCATCGGCACTGGGCCGACTGTGACGCCGATTGCGCCTGCAGTTCGCCAGTATCTGAATGGCCTAGGCATGCGGCTGGAGATCCAGGACACAAGGAATGCGGCAGCGCAGTTCAATTTGCTGGCGACGGAGAGGGGCGTTGGGCAAGTTGCGGCCGCGTTGATACCGATTGGATGGCGGGAGGTGAGGTAGTGAAGCAGTGAAGCAGTGAAGCAGGTGAGTCGCCGTGTAGCATGCATGTATATCACGAATCATAGACAGAGGTCACACTGATCATATTTGTCTACATTCACTCGCTCATCTGCCCCCGTGCCGCTAACAAGCCTAGCGCATCTTTAGTTTTTGTTTGTCCTTCGACGCTTGCTTGTACAAAGAGCAAAGCAAATATCCGAACGACAAACGCGCGCTTCTTCTCAAGGGTGCTCGGGGACGAGCAAGGTGCAACCCGACTGCTTGAGACGGAAAAGCACGACAACAACCATGGCCAGCAGGAAACTCAGCTTCGGCATCAGCATGCCCACAGATGAAGGCGCCGAGGGAGCGGATCAAGTCACGGCCAGCCACGACCGCGTGGGAGGGGAAGTCGCGACTGGAAACCGCCTGCCCAACAATGACAATGCACATCGCGACCTTGCGACCCCGGAGCGACCTTGGGATCCCGTCGCTGACCCATTCTTTTCTGCTACATCTTATCCGCCCACTGTATCGCACTACTTCACCGATGGCGCTCAAGACACAGACGCTGATCATGTGATGCAAGACACCATGGCTACACCAAACCAGCCACCGGCTCACTTTCCCCTTGGACAGCTTGATTACGGCGAGCCATTCCTCACGTTGACCGAGGCAGAGAAAGGGGCTATGGCGACAATCCTTGAGCCAGTGCGCGATAAGCTTGTGGCGCTGAAGCGGACGACGGAGGAGAGCTTGCCGCCGTATCATCCGAGCACGAGAGCGAATCCACACGCGCAAGTGTTGGGGACGCGTCTGGACGGCATCGCCAAGCACGCGCAGCAGCACCTGGCGCGGGTCGCCGAATCTGGACGGGGAATGGAGGAGTTGCGGCTATGGTATGTTCCTCCAGTATCCATTAATGAAACAGCCTTCTTCTTTACATGCTCTTGCCTAACGTACGGACCAGTCGGTACGTCGCGGATAAATACTGGCCTTTGCCCGTGACAGCTACAACCCATCTGGACATCTTTCGCATCTACCGCAACAGGCTCGCTCGTCAAGTACCCCCGGCGCAGATTGAAGCGGAGCAGGCTCAGCACGAAAGTTGGGTACAAGACGTAGCATCTCGAAGGCGTGAAACCTTTGGGGAAGCCGCAGCTCGCTTGGCCGGACGCCTACAGTCGGAGCTCAACGACTCAATAGTAGTAAGCATGCTCGAAGAAGAGGAACGACAGAAGCAAGTGGAGAATGATGGACAGGTAGCAAGAATGCTCGCAGAACAGCTTGATGCTGAACGGAGTTACGCAAGCAACAGAGACAGACACATTGAGAAGGTTGATGAGCCTGCTTGTAGCCCTGATTACAGTATGGAGGATGACTGCCGAGGTGCCCTCTGGAGCCTTGATGCTGACGATGAAGAAGCTGAGGTCCTCCCAATTGACGGACCCTTACTCAGTCAGGCTGAAGACAACCGAACAGGACACGGCGCAGATCACGCCGAAGCCCTGCGCAAACTTCATCGCGAAGTTGAAGACAAATTTGCCGTCGATCATAAATACCACGAATCTTTCACCTGGCCGTTGGACGACGATCGAGCGCGACAGCTTGCCCAAGATGCCAAGATAGCTCGTATGCTCCAAACCAAGCTCGATGCCGAAAGCCAAAACATACCGGCCCTCCTCCCTCTCGATGATACCAATCACATTTCCCGGCCTCGTCTAGATGATTGGATTCTTACACGGGACTTTGCCCAGCAAGAGGCACTCGATGGACCGCAATGCAAACCTCACACCCGCTACCGAACTGCTAGAGAAAAGTCTACACAAGGCAACCCATGTGGCGCTGATCCTCAAGCTGCTATACAACCTCGCGCACCTGCCGCACACAGTCGTTCAACTCACGAACGCCGCACCAGTGCTATCGAAGAAGAAACAGAGGACGAAGATGACGGTGTTTAGAACATGTGTCAAGCTAAGTAGTCGGGTGTGACTTCGACACGGTCTGCGTGCGAACGTCGAGGAAGTGAGCCAGACAATGGCTTACATCCCACATAGTCTTCCGGGAAATGCAGGTCGGGCCGCAAGATAGACATGGCTATGGGAGGGAGTAGGCCAGGTCGAAACATGGAGGGTGACGGACGTCTGAGGGTCAACAAGCCGGGTCAGCGGTCAGGTGCAGATGGATTGGCTTTGTACTGCATGACTTCTTGGCGTGAATGCCCACGCCAAGGAAATTACAAATGCCTTTCGTACCTCCAAAGCGGTATGTAAAACCAAGTTCGCTCTGATGGAGGTATTTCTGTGCTACAGATTTTGATCATAGTTCCTACACTCAGTCCTACGTCATACGGAGTCGCTCATCACATATCTATGCCGTTTAAAACATTCCTGATAAGAATTGTAAGCATGTTCCTGCAAGGTCACATGATCAGAATTGCGCCAAGATGTCAGCAGACACATTGAACGCTCTCTGATCTTCGAGGACCGCGCATCCCCGCGCTCTTGTGAAGAAAGTCAGGGAAGAAACTATGGAGTTCTGTCATGCAAAATTAGATCATCGGACCGTGCGACCGAAGCCGCATGAGCCCTGTGCTAGCGCTCAACAGTTCTCGGCCACGAGCCGGCAGAAGGTTCGACCGGTGGAGTCGTGCCCCTTTAAGTGGACTCGCTACGCACTTTGCATTTGTGATCCTCGCGAACCCAGGCGGGTGGGCATGCAGGTCCAGATACCCGCACTCAACAATGGCTAGCCCACATACACCGGTGCAAATCCGATTAACTTGCAGGTGGCGATTCCAAGGATTCTCAAGACGTTATCAGAGCATGAATAGCAGTGAGCGCCTGTGTGCAACCGAGCCGGGAGACTCATGTGACACGGTGTTGTACCTCAGGTAAGGATTCTCAGAGATTGCACTGCCCAACACAGTGCCCTGCCCATCACCGTGTGGTCAGCCAGAGAATTTTCCAAGCCAAAAGGAACTTCCCTTCTCGTGTAGTCGCAGTGGCGCTCGGACTTGAATATGCTCACATGCCGCGTGGCAAGGCCACCTCAAGATCAGTGGCATGCCACCACGTGCGAAGAGCTATTGGAATTTGGCCGACGGAGATGGACTCCGCGTATCAGGCCGTGTTCCGCGCATTGCACAGGCCAGTGCATGGTGCATGGTGCATGGTGCATGGTGCATAGGCTGGGGGTCTTATCTTCGCGGGAGCGTTCCGGCGCTGGAAAGACAGCCTGTTTTGAGGCATCTGGCGTCTGCACTTCTGCACTTCTGCACCGCGGTTCGGGCACGGACAGGAGATGGTTGATAAAACTGGCTGCTCGCTTGAGACTGCCGCTAGTCGCGTCTGGGCCTAGCCCGTCGGCTGCTAAGCTTTTGAGCCTCACCTGCGCGAAGCACATCATGTTTTATACACCGGCTGAATTCGCCCATGCGGCAGCGGTGAATACCATCTCCAGACGCGATTGACCGGTAAAGTGGTACAACAAGTGGCGCTGTGGGCCAGGTTCTTCCTCGCTTGATGGTTTTTCATTGGGGTTTTGTCCAGGAAAAGTGGATGCTCGAGACCCTTTGCATCTTGTTCCCACCAGCATCCACACCGGGGCAGTCGCAACCAACACGATGCATTGCGAATCGCAGTCTCCTTTCTGCACTCCACGTGGATGATTCATAAGCTATTCGCCGGGGAAGCGCGATTCAGATGCCACGACGTCTGGACCCTCTGGTCAAGAAGAAATTAGGAGACGCTAGAGTGTAACCTGGTCTTCGTCCAAGGGGGACGTGGGGTGGCCTAGGACGTGCGCTTACCGACAGCTCCTACACAAAGGCCACTCTTTCGCTCCAAAAAGTTTGCGACATCGAACCCTTCCTACTCATTTCTCTACTCAGACTTGCTTTTGGTTTTTCTTCCGTCATGTTTTCTTACCTTCCTAGATACCCATTGCGAGCTGCGAGCGCTAGAGCACTTGTTCGCGCAACGAGGCCCTCTTACCGGTCTGCCCTCCTCAGATACCAAAGCTCAGAGGCTGTTGGGCGCACACAGGAGATTGTACCAGGAGCCTACCAGATTCCTCCCAGAGATTTCTCTCGCCAACATGAGGAAAAGCTCGCACCTAAAAACGCCGCCAGAGCACCTCGCAGGATAGAACCTGCGACGCTGAAACTGAACAGCAAGAATTTGTCCCAACTGCAAAACGTCACAGTCCCAACTTACCAGCGGGAGGGTGTGAAGCAGGGCATCGTACATGTCGGAGTTGGCGGCTTTCACCGCGCTCACTTGGCTGCTTACGTCGACACACTTCTCGAGCAGTTCAACTCTCAGGACTGGTCTATTTGCGGCGTGGATTTGCAGCCCTTTGCCGCTCCCATGCGTGACGCCCTAGGCTCGCAAGACAACCTTTATACTATGATCGAATGCGATACCGAGGGTACAAGCGCGCGCGTCATTGGAAGCATTACCGACTACCTCTTTGCTCCCGACAACTGCGAGGCTGTCATTGCGAAGATGGCACACCCGGACACACACATCGTGTCAATGACGGTCACTGAGAGTGGTTACTATATGAATGAGAACACACACGAACTACAGATTGACCATCCGGACATCGCGGCGGATTTGGCTGGCCAACAACCCCCTCGCACCGTATTTGCTTATCTGTACGCTGCTCTTGCCAGGCGACACGCAGCAGGTCTGCGACCATTCACAGTCATGTCCTGCGATAACATGCAGAAAAACGGCGACATAAGCCGCAACATGTTGCTTGCTTTTGCCCGCCAGCAAAACCCAGAGGTTGCCGATTGGATCGCAGAAAACGGCGCTTTCCCCAACAGCATGGTCGACAGAATTACGCCACGGACAAGTGATGAGAACAAGGCCCAACTCGCACAGGAATTTGGAGTCGAAGACTCTTGGCCTGTTGTCACCGAGGTTTTCCACCAATGGGTTCTTGAAGACAAGTTCGCCGACGGCCGTCCACCATTCGAGAAGGCCGGTGTCCAGGTGGTTCCCAATGTTCACAAGGTCGAAGAATACGAACTTATCAAGCTACGCTTGCTCAACGCCAGCCACTCGGCCATGGGATATGCTGGATATCTTGGTGGCTTCACCTACATCCACGAAGTCATTGCCGACCCAACTTTCCGCAAGTACATCCGCAACATGATGCAAGAGGAGGTCCAGCCGCTGCTACCGCGCATTCCCGGCGTCAGTGTAGACGATTATTGCAATACCCTTCTGGGACGATTTTCCAACCCAACGCTCAAGGACGAGCTTCCTCGTATTTGTCTCGGTGGATCAGGCAAGATTCCTCAGTTCATTATGCCTAGCATTGCAGAGCAGATCCAGGCGGGTGGTCCCCTCCGTCGCTTGACCCTTTGCGCGGCAGCTTGGTTCCGCTACCTCCGAGGCATAAACGAGCAGGGCCAAGCCTTCAAGCTTGACGACCCCATGGCAGAGGAACTCCAGGCCAAGGCTCTTGAGAGTCCGTTTTCGGTGCTCGAAGTGAAGAGCCTGTTCGGAGATGACCTTCGCGACGATAAGCGATTTGTCGCAGAGTTGAAGAATGCATTGGAGAGCCTGGAGCGCGATGGCGCCAGGGCAACAATTGCCCAGTACGCGTAGAGCGAGCACAAAAGTTTCAAAAGCGTTTTAATAATCTTGCATTTTTCTTTTGGTGGGCGGGTCATTTGTCATATAGACTACAATCAGATATCCCTAGAGACCTCGAGGCAGGTCAAACTTTCTTATCATTGCAATACACAATTGCCGCCTTCCTGGCAGCTCCGTCATCGATATCTTCTTGTTTGATCTGAGCTTCTCATACTGTCCATGCAAATATGCAAGAGTCCATGTTGCCATTTTGGTCAAAAAATGCTGTGGAAATGCTTGGGCTTAAGAGGATAAGTTTTGATCAAAAGCTAGCGCTGTTCGTACTACCCTTTGAGATGCTATTCGCTGGAACAATGCCGTGTAGTATAGCCAAGTATGCAAGCAAAGGGTCGCCACTGAACTTTTGAGTTGGCGTTGACGTTGCACCTTCGTCAAGACCTGAAAGAAGCATTACGAGAAACCTCAAGCATGACCAGTATATTGCTCTAGTTGCTGAATACTAGCTGAAGACTTGAATTAACTAGTTGCCATTACATTGGATCCCAGCTGGTCATCCGAGAAATGTTCCTTCACAGGTTCTTTATCAGATCCCCAATTGCGTCTGCCCCTTCACTGCCACCCCTCAGCTCCTTATTGGTCACCTGTATCAACACCCGTCGATAACTCGTCAAGCTCGGTAGCCCGTCATTCGTAACCTCTAGTACCAAATGCAACAACTGGCCCCTTTCCTGCGGCTTGCGACTCATCAAATCGACGGCACACTTCTCGGGCGGCGGAATGGTGACTTCTACCTTTCGAGCCTCAGTGTCGATAGGCTTGATGGCAAGTTCCATGACCTCGGCGTCGACCCACCACTGTGTTGCGGTGGGCTCGCGATAATGCCACCACTTGAAAGTCAGCGCGCCCCCGTCGGGATCATAAGTGCCGGCCGCGTCGAGAACGACAGTCGAGCCGGCCTCTGCATCGATGCGTACGGGCGTGAGGTCCTTGGCGCCGTTGACGATTACGACTGGGTGGTGATTCGCCTTGGTGAAGTCTGGCTCCATGCTCCACTTGATGCGTGCGGCAAAATCATTTTGGAAAGCATCGCGCCAGCGCCAGATAGTTGCATGGTTTGAAGTGAATGTACGATCTCTGACTTTGACGCGGTCAACAGCGTCACTGAAGTGGTTGCTATTCACACCTTCGGTGCTTATGTCAGTCTTCGCATAGCGGCCACCCCAGGAGCCGTAGTCGGGACACTCGGGTACGCCCAGACCATTCTGAATGAGATACAGAAAGGTGGGCGTATCACCCTCAGGGATGAAGAGGTAGTCTGGATATGCGCTGCCTAGTGGACCAATCTGGATGTTGTCTTTGATCCAACTCTTCTCCATCTTCGTAAAATCAGGGCCTCCCTCATCAAATCCATAGTACTTGTCGCCAGAAATACCAGTCCACGCTGCTAAGCCGTATTGATTCCAACCATGCACGGACGCGATATAGAAGACGTCTGGGAAATTTGTGCGTATCCAAGCACCTGTGTCATCTTGGTCGGATATGGCATAGACTCGAAGGCGTGAGAGCAGACGCTTCGAATCCTCAGGGGGATATTTATCATCGATCTTCAGCAGCGTTTGAGCAAGGGTGTTTGTTCCGCCCCAACAAAGTACCCAAAGGGGCTCAGTCGACGGTGCGAGTATGCGTTCGTAAAGGAGCTGACCACCGGCCGAGAGGGGAAGATCGATGCCGACCGCGGACATTCCATAGGTCTAGGCAATGTTAGCATCCTGTGCACACCTTGTCGGACCGGCTTCCATTTTCTCTCTACGGAACATACCTCAGCGCCCTTTCTTATGAGACTGCGCATTCTCTGCGCGCTAGGATACTGCCATTCTGGATGTGCATGCTGGTTCAAATTGCCTACCGCATTGGCATACGCATCAATGATCTTCTCCATATCCTGTGGACAGACTTTGTTCCTCATCCACGTGCTCGTACACGCCACCAGACCTTCCGTCTCAAACTGGTTGGCATACAAAAGATAGCGACACAGCGACTCGGCATCGTCGGGTTCATTGGAGATGTCTGACAGGATGAAGACGCGTGGCTTATGCGCGAACTTTTGAAGCTTCGCAGTGGCCATGATGGACGCAGACGAAGCGTGATGGCAAAGCAAAGGATTTGATGGAGTCGGTTCACTGAGAGCAGTGGCACTACGCTCTTTTCATAATATTCTAATGTTGTTGTTACTGTTACTCAACGCTACACAAAAGATTTCCGAAGATGTGCCTCGAGGTGTGACAGGCGGGGCCGTCCACGACGAAACCGGACGATTAGGCACGGCTTGCCATGTGGAGCTCGGTTGCGCTTGCCATGCAGTCAAATCAAGTGGGGCGAGGGGTCATGGTCACCACCACCCGTCTGCTATTCCTTCATCACAGCGTCCGCAGCATTTCTCGTCCTTCTATGCTTGGGCGCCTAAGTACATATGGCGATCAGGTTGCATACTACGCCCACAGCGGCGCCAGCCACAGCACCGCCTTGCTTGGCATGACGTAGCGAAGCCATCCTAGCCATTGTACAACACCACAAGCTAGCAAAGAGTGTATCATAGGCTGGATGCCTGAATGCAAGGCTTAGACATTCCGAGGATCTGATCGACCTAATACGAGCGGGAGTGACAACCGTACGTGGGCCAAGTCCGCATAAGATTGTGGTATATATCTAGGTACATCTGTCTCAAACACTGCTGCTGTCTTTTGACATTGTTTCTTGGTATATCTCGCTCGTCACCCTATGACTTATCATGTCTTCAGTACACGCCAAGATCCAAGAAGCTGCAAGCCAGAATGCATTTCTCCTTCAAGGCCTTCATGAAACAGATTCAGCACCCTCGCAACTTCGGCAGCAAGATGCGTACATCAACGACCTCAACGCGCAGATGGCCAAAATCAACGCAAAGGTTACCGATTTGAAGGAGAAGACTGCGACCGAACTCAAGGACCATGAGAAGTATCGCGATTCCAACGTGCGGCGCTTCGCCCATAAAGCTATGGGTCGCAAAGAAAAATTTGCCGAAAAGGCAGCCAAGGAAGAGAAGGAATATTTTGATGCCATGCAAGCCCAAAAAAGCGCCGAGGACGAACTCACATACGTCCAACACTTGAAATCCGAAGCTGAAGGCGCTCGTAAAGACTACGCAGCGTCCGCCGAAAGGCACAACTATCTACAGAACCAGCTTGACGCGCTGTACAATTCCATCTTCGCAGGTCACACTCCCGATTTTCCGCTCGAAGATCGCGCTGAGGAATCTTGCAATACCGCGCAACACCACCTCTCCTCCCTCCATCAACGCATGGAGATGGAGAAACACACGCTCTTCCTCTTGGGCCAGATATCCTCCAAGCTCAGCGATGCTCGGACCGCTCTCGATGGCGCATACAGCATGTCTCAGTATGACCTGTTTGGCGGCGGAACTATGGCATCGATGCAAAAGCGCAATTATCTAGAACGCGCCGAGTCTTGCATCCAACAAGTCCGTATGCTGCAGCAACAACTACCCCATGACGTCCCACAGTTGGGTGAGTTGCAGATTGCAAGCGGCAGTATATGGAGCGATGTTGTGTTTGACAACATCTTCACTGACATGGATATGCACGAGAAAGTCAAGCAGAGCATCGCACAGGTTGATCGCGTGGGGGCGCAGTGTGGGGACATCATTCGCGGGCGCGAAGAGGGATTGAAACGGTTGCAGAGAGAGGTCACGGAGGCTGAGGAGGGGTTGAAGAAGGCGCGGGTAGAGTTGCAGAGGGCGAGAGAGGATGCGTTTAGGAGGGTGGTGGAAGGTCAGAGTGGTATGGGAGAAGGACCGCCTGGATATGCGGCACCGAGCGGAGCACCGCCGGGGTATACTGTGTAATTAGCTCGTAAACGTGTTGTGGTGATGTAGTACAGGACGCTGCATTGTGTTGTGAATTGTCATGTTATCATTTAATGCCTATTGTGGCTTGCAATCTCCAACACGCGCCTAGATGAAGGCCTCGGCAAGGGAGTTTTGGAAGTTGCTGTCCCGGAAGCTGGGGGTGGCATCACCGAAATTAGTGTTCTCAATCGCACTCCTAGCTGCCGCAGTCATACTCTCCCACGCAATATCAGGGCTGTTCGCCGCCCTGCTCATTGGTCGTAATCAACTGATGATTCACTGGCCAGACGCTGGTATACCCAATCTTCGGCCTGGTCCCGCTCAACGGCGGGCTTGTGCTTTTGTCATAGTCGCCGTGTGCAGAGACGGCAACACCTCGAAGAGTTGCAGAGTCAGACTGCGCAGAAAGCCAAACGACTACATTCTCCCAGTCGTGGCGATGTCCCAGACCGGAAGAAGGCGAGTCTTTGGGCATGTACCAGCTGTACATGATGCCGTAGGCGCCGTTGTAAGTACCGCCACGGACATAGACTTGTCCTGTAGAACTGCTGCAGCCGCTGCTGGCAGAGCCCGAGGTAGCGAGTCCGCCGCTAGATGGATGCATCAGCCTCACATCTCTACATAAGGATTGATGAGGTTACCCAGTATCGCCCGCGGCATTGACAGCGGCGAACGGCACACAACCGTTGAAGACCTTTAGGTAGGGCTTATACTTAAGATATAAGCTGCCGGTCAGGCCAGAGGGGACGGTCTGAGGGAAGGCGACGACGGCATCGTGGTTGATGACGGCGCGACTGAGGAGGCTGAGGGGGTTAGGAAAGGCGGAGACGATGGTTGCAGCTGCGAGGAGCTGGACGGAGAGTTTGGCGAGCATGTTGCGGGTGGCAGAAGTTGGATTGCAGTTGCGAAGAAGTGCGAAACGAGCGAGTAGTGTCTCCGCTCCCGTTTTGTTTCTGGTGGATGTGGACGGAATTTATGCACGACTCTGGCCCTCGTTCAGGCCGAGTCGTTCACCGTTACCACCGCTGTTGCTACCACATTGGGAAGTCGGCGATATATGCAAACCCCCACTACTAGCCTGCACATGGTCGTTCACGCACCCAATGAATGGGCGCTGGCTCAGTGCAAGACTCTCCGGACTTGGGTATAGCTGTGGTCGTCCAGGGTTTCCTGCATATGGGCAGGGTATGTTGATCTAGGACGTCGGACGAGGTGGCTTTGCTGGGCCAAGTGTACACGTGAGGGGCATGGCGGTTATGCGTGATGGTGTAGCAGGTCCAATGGGGTGGAAGACGTGGGCTCGGGCCACATGTTTATTGGACGGGTCCCACGTCTGAGGCAGCGCTAGACTGGATCAGATCAGGAAGGTGCAGGGTTCAGCATATGAGACGCACGCACGTGTAGGTGGTAGACGAGAGGCAACAGGGCAACGTGAGAGAGGGCTTCATATTGATTGGCAACGGACTTGGGTGGTGCGCCATGTACAGCGGCACGGCGGGCTCATCCGAACTGGCGCCAGATGGTACCTTTCTGCTCGTCGGGCGGCGTCTCTGGGCCTGGCAGAATGTTGCGGAGCATGTCGTTGATGTCCAGGCCGCGGTCTTGACATTGTTGCCATTGGCGAGGATAGCCCAGACTGACCTCCTCGAAGCGCGTGTCGTCGATGAAGTCGGTGCGCCTCACGTGCAAGTGCCCGCTGATGATTATCTTGGCGTTGAATCTGGTATGCCAGTCCTCCGTCTTCTTGGTCCCGCACCACAAGCTGAAGCGTGGGACCCGGGAAGAGCTGGACGAGGTCCTCGCGCAGCGGCCAGTGCCCGACAATGACCAGCTTGTGTTTGGGATGTGCGGCGACGCCGGCAGCGAGCTTGGCTTCC